CCGGAGTTTTCTCTTTTCCATTGCTCGCTCATCACCGTCTACACTCATACATTTGACAATTTTGCGAATGCTTTGCAACGACCTAATTTGAATAATCTGAATGAAAATCAAACATCGAACGAGAACAGACGACATACAAGACGGGGAAAAAATGTGTCGCGGACAAGCCAACGTCACATGCAGAAAGTGTGTACACACACAAAGCGAAAATGGCATGAAGACAAAGTGAAGCAAAGGTAAACAAAGAGATAACAAAAACGAAATAAATAACGAAAGAGAAAAAAACTGAAAATATGTGCTGAAAACTCATAAAAATGCTAATGATCCATTCACGAAACCAGAAGAGAAGCATCGGTAAACATAGAGACAGAGAGAGATAGGGAAGAATTCAGCTCGTGCTGGCTGGAAACGCCAAGAGACAAGAGAGTGCCACAGGCTACCAATCAACGTAAGAATTGAGCAAACAAACAGCAAAATTGAAAACACGGAATAAACGGTGTCAATCCGAAATGAACAAAGCGAAGAAGAAGAAAAAAGTAGAAGACGTTCCAAAGTGATACGAATCTGAACGATTGTGTTGACAGTGGCTAGAGACTCTTGTGTTGAAGAATTAGCGCAAACCATGATTTATTACATCCAATACAATAAAATGGTAACGACAAAATTATCCAAGTTACAAAGAATGGAATGGTACACGTGCGCTCGCGCGCGCAACATGCATAACATAGTTAAGTGAATTTACGATGTAAGTCAGGTTCCGTACTATTGTCGATCGAAAGAAAAAACCCACTGCTTAAAACACTAAACATAGAAGTTGATGTCATAAACTAGCGAAATGAGCTGTAAAAGAATATTGCGTTGTGAACGACCTTAGTCTCGATTCACTGTTTTTGGATATATATATATATATTCGATGCAAAATGCATTGGATGTTCATTTTATTACACCATTTTCATCGTTGCCGATGCGCTCCGATTGATGCAATTGCATCGTATTACGACACAATACAAAAATAGACTGAACGCCATTTGTATGCAGCTCACGAATTCAGATGGGTTTCATGGGCCATAACTGATGTATGGGTACATCTCATCGAATCGGTGATAGACATGAAAAACAATGCCATCAGCCAGCGGCAGGAGGTGGTGGCGGTACAATCAATAGGTCTCATTTAATTAAGAGCAAAATAAAAGTTAGATAAGTTCTACTGTCTTGGCTGTCTGCTGCTAAATGCGCACCGAAAAACTTTCAGGCATTTACCGAAAAGTTTCAAGTCAAACACCGTACATTTCAAATGATTGACAAACAAAAGAACATTAAACTAACTTGTTATTGAATTAAGAACGTCGGGAGTAAGTGGAAATGGAGGAGTCGATCGAAACAGCATGAAGCAGCACTATCAATTGATCAAAATCGATTCTAAATATTTTATCAAGATATTCGTCAGTGGTGCATAACAAACAGCGCAAACATTCCCAATTTCGACGAAGAAAAAACCAAAGTCGAGCAAAATGGTTATGGCTTCACATTGACGTTGTTCTGCTTGATGCTTTGATTGATGGAATAGATTTCGCGTTGACATTAATGCGATGATACCGTTAACAGTAGCCAATAGATTCACGCTATCATTTATCATTCGCATGAATTTATTTATAACGCTTTCGGTATTGCTCTCACAACACGGAACACATTCACACACACACACACACACACACACACAGAGAGAGAGAGAGAGAGAGAGAGAGAGAGAGAGAGAGAGAGAGAGA